CACAGTGTCCACCTTGAGAAGATTTCAGTAAAGTGGTTAGTGGCATGTGGCCAGGGGTCCAAGCGTGGCTGGAGCAGGGTGCCTCTGGTTGTGGGACAACAAGGTTAAGAAAAAAACAGCAGAAAGATCCTTTTTCTTACAATATCTGTTTAGCACCTCAACTGACACTGTGCTTGCTGCAAAAGTAAAGTGCTTAAAGGTCCCAGTCTAATATTAGAAAGCAGATAATGAAAAGATCGGGAGTTGAGAGGCAATATATTGATAGTTGGCCCAAAATTAAAATGCAGTTTGCCTTTTACTAGACATGGGATTTCTTGGCTGCATAAAGGTTGTTGCAAAAAAAAAAAACAAAAGAAAAAAGAAATGAGATAGATTATGAAAAGTGATTCTCACAGGGTAAAATGTGTAACATATTTTTCTTGAACCAAATATTGGACACTATATTCATCAACGACAGTTCTCTAATAGCAAAATCAGATCAAGAATTTTTAAGAAAAGGAAACCACAAATCAATACCATTCACAAATATACCTGCAAAATCCTAAAAAAAAAAAAGCAAATCAAATTTAGTGATGCATAAAAATCACAATACATTATGGTCAAGTGAGGTCTATCCCAGGAAGGTTGATTTAACACTGGGAAAAAAAGTAAACAATAAAAAAAATTACTGTAATACCAAACAGGAAAGAAAATAAACATCATCCCCTTAATAAACACAGAAAAGTAGCATTTAATAAAATGCATGATTGTTGCTGTATAAAAACTCTCAGCAAACTAGAATAGAAGGGAATTTCCTCACCATGATAACAGGCAAATACAAAAAAGCTCCATCTCGTTCCACATTTTGTGCCAAGAGAGTAAATATTACTAGGATTGGAAATAAAGAAAATCTGTTCCCAATACCTTTATTCAACATTGTGCTAGATTTCTAGCCAGTGCAGTCAGGCAAGGGGAAGAAATGAAGGACATACAGATTATAAAGGAAGTAAATTTTGTCCTCATTCACAGATGTCATGATCTCCTATATAGAAAATTCAATAAATCTCCAAAAGGACTTTCTAGAACAAAAAAGTGAATTTAGCAAGGTGGTAGGTTTCAAGAACAATGCAAATAATTCAATTTTATTTCAAAATATCAGCAACAATTAGAAATGAAAATATGTACCTATGGATGCTCACAGCAGCTTTTTTGTAAGAGCAAAACTAGAAATAACCCAAATGTCTATTAACAAGGAAATGGGTAGACAAAAAGTGGTATATCCAAACAATGCCATATTATACAGCAAAGAAAAAACTGACGTACGGATATAGGCTACTACGTTAAAAAATGAAAATATGCTGAGTTAAAGAAGCAGATAAAATAGAGCACATGTGGTATGATTCCATTTATAAATATTGCAGAAAACGAAAATTAGTACTTAGTACCAGAAAGCAGATAAATGGTTGCTTGGGAATAGGGGTAGTGGAAGGATGTGATTATAAAGGGCCACAAGGCAACTTTTGGGAGGAGATACATGGTTATTATCTTGCTTGTGGCCAGAATTTCATAGGTGTAAGCATATATCACAGTTATCAAATTATGTACATTAAACATGTGTGTCTTAATATATCAGCTGTATATTAATAAAACTGTTAAAGAAGGTACACCTCACAAGGAAGATACACAGAGGAAACAAACAAACTAGTCCACACCTAACAGAATGGTCAAAATCCAGGTTACTGACAACACCAGCTGCTGCTGAGAATATAGAGCAATGTTTTCTTATATGTTATGCTATGTTTTCTTATAACACAGAGTGATAAAATCAATTACATCACTCCTCTGCTTCAAAACTGTCAGTGATTTTCCTTAGCTGTTGACTCAGAATAAAATCACATCTCATCATTGTCTACAATATCTACACAATAAAGTCCTATCTACTGTCTGAGCTCACCTCCTATATTTTTGTGTTTATTACGATCCAACTTTTCTTTGGTTCTTCAAATGCTCCAAGTTTACAGAGCATATATTGTCTTTAACGAATAACTCTCAGAAGCACTGGAAATGAATGGATTAGATTAAATAGAAATTCTCTAATTTTATGGTGATTATTTGCATGTATCTCTTCTGTGACCTTAACTTTCTAAAAATACTTTTTGCCTTTATGTTTGTAGTCTTAGCAGTATACCTACAAAAATATTGTTGATGTATGCTTGAAAGAATATATATCATCATTAATGTTTAATATGTCATCTATTATCCTTTAATTCTTTAGCATCTTAAGAATTACCTTCTTGCTGTAACGATAGCAGGAATTTCCAGAAACAAACCCACTTTCTCCTTTATTTCTTGGTAACCTATGATTCAACATCACAATTTCTTCAAATTTGAGTCCTTCCTTCTGAGTTGATAATTTTACTGGCTGTAAATTTAATAATTTAATAATAATAATTTATATAATTATTTAATAATTCACAATATAATTTATATATAAATATATAGTAATATTATTCTAAGTAATAATTTTATAATAATAATACTTTAATAGCTACCATCATTTCCTCATCATCCTAATTCTGTATCTCTAATATCTTCATTTTTATGTTTTTAGGAACACATTTTAATACATCTTTAGAACTGCATATGTTATCTCTTCTACATGTAGTAATCTCTCATCTATATCTAGAAATATAAGCCAGCATTAAGTGTTTTATTTTCCATTAAGACATCTGTAACAATGAAATAAAAAATAAAGCCCTTCTATTATTTCAAATTTTTGGCTAGCATGAACTCAATTCTATTTTCTTCTTTCTCTCCAAATTTTAGCAGCTTTTTCTGGCTTCATTGTACTTTTCCTCTTGCCAACAAAAGAGCTGTCTGTGATTCTTAATGGTGTTCTTAAATCAGCTGAAGAATTCCTTTTCTGTGATGCAGTAGGCACACAAATTGCACGGCTAGAAAAGCTGCCACCTCTCCTGCGCCAAGTTGATCTGCTTGCTGACTCTCCAAATCCAGGGGTAGGCAAGGTGGCAAATTTCTCAACTAGTATGCACATCAACTGTGGCTCCCTTTATTTTGAGAACTGATTGCAATCCGTAACTCTATCTCCGACCCAGCTCAGCCTATAACTACATTTTCACAGTAGCTATTTATGTCTGATCAGTAATTATTGTTCACCAAGCTCATTGGTCTGCAATTATAACATTCCAAATGTCTTTCTTCTGACTTTTCTGCCTACTAAGGTTGATGTTTATCAATCTGGTTTGGTCAATGATTAACAATTCTATTTAATTGTATTTATTTATAGCAAATATTTTATAAAATGTTTAATTATATAGAAATTTAAAAGAATGGTTTAATTAACATTCATATACTTATCATCAAGGTCTTAAATTTATTAATATTTCTAATATTTTTAGTCTAATCTATTTTTCTGAAATATTTTAAATATACTATCAGACCTCATATTACCTCGATATTTCATTATATTTTTCTACAATATAATGAAAACAGAATTTAAATTTTCCTACATAAACACATTTCATTATCATGCAAGATAAAATTAATAATAGTTCTTATTGTAATTTAATAAAAATCCCCTCATATTCCCTCCAATTCCCCTGAATTATCACAAATGATTTGCTTTTTATTGTGCTTCTAAAATTACAACTAATCTAAAACAGACCTGCAGTTTTCATGACAATGATTTGTTGAAAACTAGGTCAGTATTTTCCTATAGAATATTCTAACTTCTGAATCATGCTGATTGCTTTCTCATGGTGTCATTTCATTTGTTCTTCTATCTTCTGTACCTCCTGTAAATTGGAATGAAATCAGAAGACTTCATTAGTTTCAGGTTAAACATTTTGGCCAAGAATAATTAAAAGGTGCTTCATATAGTTTATGCTGTACTATTAGATACACATAATGGTTGGCCGTTCTACATTGCTTATACTGATGAGTAGGTTTAAGTGGTAGCTGTTTTATTAATAAATATATACATTTATATTATATAAAATATAAACTTTTATAACTTTTTTTTTATGCATTTTCAAACTTCAGGCAAGTTGCAAGAACACAGCAAATAACACATAAAAGGCTTTAGATTTAGGTAAAAGGTATACCCAGCTTTGCCACTGATTATATTCCATCCCTTTTTGTTTTAGTTTTCTATTTTTTAATAAATGTGCACACACACATATGCACACATGTATGTATTTAAAACTTTTATCTGAGCAATTTAAGAGTAAGCTGGAAGATCATACCACTTCACCCCTAAGTAATTTACTGTGTATTTATTAAGAACAGAACAGTCTCCCATTGACAGATGACAGGTTAAAGAAGATGTGGCATATATATATATATATAATGGAATACTACTCAGCCATAAAGAAGAATCAAATAATGCCATTTGCATGGATGGACCTGGAGATCATCATTCTAAGTGAAGTAAGGCAGAAGAGAAAGAAAAATACCATATGTTATTGCTTATATATAGAATCTTAAAAAAAATGAACTTATTTACAAAACAGAAACAGACTCACAGACATAGAAAACAAACTTATGGTTATCAGTGGTTGGGGAAGAATGAATTGGAAGTTTCAGATCTGTAGATACTATTGTATATAAAATAGATAAACAACAATTTATACTGTATATAGCACAGGAAACTATTTTAAATATCTTTTAGTAACCTACAATGAAAAAGAATATGAAAATGAATATATGTATGTACATATATGACTGAAACATTATGCTATACACCAGAAATTGACATGACATTGTAAACTGACTATACTTCAATTAAAAAAAAGAATGCAAATAAGAAAAACGACAAAAAAGAACAGGATATTCTCTTTCATATTACATAATTATTAAAATTAGTAAATCTAAAATTGAAACAATATTATTAGTATTTATTCCAGATACTATATTCAACATTTGTCAATTGTTTCTAAGATGCCTTTGGAAATATATTTTTACTGGTCCAGAATCTAATCAGGTATCATACACTGCATTTAGTTGTGATGCTTTTTATTCTCTTTTAGTCTAGAACAGTTTTCTAGTCTTTCTTTATGATCTTGGTATTTCTGAAAAGTCCTAGACAGTGATTCTGTAAGTCCCTTAAGCTGAATTTGTCTGTTTTCTCATGACTGTGTAAATATAAGGAAGTCAAATTTACTCCTGAGAATTATAGACTGTTTACTAAGGCTACACTGAAATCCATATTAGAAATTACTTGACACACTTTATTTCCTCTTGTCTATTTCATGAAAGATACTGTTAACAAACAGATTAATCCAGATTTAAACTCAGAGTCCTTCTCAAGATGGCACTTCCTACAACTAGAAGAACTCAAAAGAAATGCCTATTTGACATTCCTTTTCTTAGACTCTTTCTTGTCTTCAACGTATAAGATTACTTTTATATGGTTTGCCTATTTCAGCTTATTCTAAAGACACTGAATACACAAGATGCCAAACCCACAAGATAAATAATATTGCAGTAGGCATTACTTAGATGGCATAATTAACAGAGAATATGTTTCACAGGGTATGAAGAAGCTCTGGAGTCTAATTGAACTGGATTTTTATCCTGGTTGGGATTGTCACTGTGGTAAAACTACTTCTTCATTTTGAATTTCAATATTCTCATTTAAAAGAAACGGCACTGTCTATCTTATAAGGTTCATGCAAGAAATACGGATGTTGGATGCGTACCTACACTACTGCAGGCATTGGGCAATTAGGAACTATTAATATTACTTTTCTTACCTGCTGGACTATGCTCCAGGAGTTTCTATTTTGAATCCTATACCAACATTTGCTACCATGATTGAGAAAATATGTTAAAAAAAAAAACCATATTAGAAAGCACGTAGGAAACATCCATGCACAAAGAGCTATGGAGAAAATGTTGTAGGTAATCAGAATGGTGTAGTATGGAAAACATACTGCTGACCGTACATCTATCCCCAATTCCCTCACTCTCCACAGTCTCTCTGCTAAGCAATCAAGCTGCATGGAGTGCTCAGTGCTGCTTCTAAGTATCTCAAAGCAACAGTCCTATTTCTTCTTTTATTTTCAACAACTCTGTATTGTTTGTCCCTGTCAAATGAACCCCTCATGATCTGCACCCTCTCAGACCATGCTCATTTCTTAATCTTGAACTGTGCATAGAAAAAAAAAACTAGTGATTTGTTAATATTTAACTTTGTATCTCCTAATGCTCATTTGCTTTACACCAAGATTACCAAACTTTACTGATCCTAAAATCAATCATGAAATCTCGTATCTGTGAAGGACTGCAATTCACAAAAGTCTTTCATGTTGATCCCTCAAAAATGGTTCTCTGAGATGCCCAAGGCAAAAATTACTCTACACATTTTAATGATAACCTCAGCCCAGGAAATTTCAATGGCTAGTCTACAGTAACACAGCTAATGAGCTGACCAGGATGCAAACGGGTTTCCTCGAACTCCATACCCTTTGCTATTTCTACTATATAAGCTTGTTTGGGCTTTTATCATTGCTGTTGGTGTCCCTAAAGTCCTAAAAAGATTTTAGTGTCTGTGATGAAACGAAACCTCTTAGTGAGGGCAGGTTCAAGTCAGCCACAACATTGGTGGAAATATAAAGAACACTTGGAATTCCTTTCTCCTAACTCTTCTACCTCTAGCAAGATTACATATTAGATAAATGTTGTAGTTTATCTGAATCAGCTATTTCCTCTATGTCTGAATCTTTGAACTCAGTTCTATGGGTTATCTACCTTCAGCTTAAGATCGTTTGGAGTATAGAAAAGTACTAGTGACAGGAAAGGAACTTATTAGTTAAGACAGAAATTGACTCCAATTTTTTTAAGTCAAGTAGTAAATAACATCTCTTACTTATCTTACCTCATCATCTAAGTTACCGCATTAGGTCCCATGGCTTTAAACACCATTTCTATGATAATAATACACCAAAGTGCATCTTAAGTCCTAAAACTGAACAACTCCAGACTGGTATGGTCAACTGCATACACGACATCTCTAACTGGCTATTTAGACGATGTCTCAAAATTAGCACGCCTTGAAACCAAGCTTCTGGAATATATCCACCTCCAAAATTCTCCTTCGCCCCCAACATCTGCATACATCTAAATAAGTGTCATTCCATGTTTCCATCTACTGAGACCAAAAATCTTGGAGTCATCTTTAACTCCAGGCTCACAGCCTATATTCAATTTACCAACAAATTCTGTTTATCCTAATATCAAAATACTTAGTTCCCAAGTCCGCTTCTCAACACCACCAATACCTCCCAGGTGCAAACCATCATCATTATCTCACACTTGGTTGTAATAATCTTCTAAGATGTCTCCCTACTTCTACCCTTGCCCTACTGTTAGTTCATTTTCAATCCCAAACCAAATTGATACTTTTAAAACAAAAACCTCACCATGTCAACGATATATTCAGAAACCCCCAGGGGTTTGTCCTTTCACTCAGAGTCAAAGCCAGTGTCCTTCAGATGGTCTGGGGGTCCGCGTAACCTGTTCCCATCCCCAGTACTTCTGTGATCACACCTCCGACAATTTTTATTCTGCTTAATTCTGTTCAGTCCATCAAACATACTAGGCACATTCTTGCTTCAGAACACTTGAACTTGCTGTTGTTTTTTTCACGGACTCTCCATTCCCCAGATGAGCTCAAGATTCACTTTCTAACCTCCACTGAATGTCTGTTCAAATATCATCTTATCTGTGAAGCCTTTTCTAATTACCCTGTTTAAAATGGCTAATCTCACTGCTTCAATTCTCCCTGTTCGTATTTTCTAATTCTATTCATCTCCACAGCACTTTCAGTACCCCATAAACAATTTATTTTCCTTATATGTTGACCTGTGGTCTGTTTCCACCAGCAGAATTTAAGCTCCATGAGGGAAGAATGTTTGTTCACATTGCATTCCCAGCAACTAGAACACTTTCCAGCACATAGCAGGCACTCAATAAATGTGGTTGAATAAGTTAATGCAGTATCATTCCTTTCATTATGCATTTTACCAGTGAGTAAACCAACCAGAGATAGTAGGTAAACTATTCAAGGAGGTACAGGACAGTGACAGTGACAGTGGCAAGGCGTACAAAGAAGAAAGGAAACCCTAGCTTGCAGGGACCACTAGCTGAATCAGGCCGAGTTGTCCCCAAGTCACGGAGAACTGCTTAGGTTTGATTCTAACAGTGAAGGTCAGTGGTTAAATATCTACGCTCATCACTTCTACTGAGTCTTTATGAGCTGTGCTAAATTAACATTGAGTAGTACACTGGCAATAAAAGTGTTATTTGAGTTTAGTATGCTATAGTTGTATATTAAAGCGTATAATAGTTGTTAAATTCCAAATCAGACAGTGCTTACTCAAAGCTGACTACTATTCAGAGAATTTATTAATTTAACATTATTTAACCTTGAGGCCATGCTGCCACAGGAGGAAGGGTATATTTAGGCTAATGATTTAGAATTTTATATGGGAAACCTTTTAAAGCAGAGACCACACATGCTTTCTTTCAATAAATAGAAAAATGCCTAATTTCATAAATTTTATGATTGCTGCTAGGAAAGGAGGGCTGTAACAGCCTGCGTAATGAAGTTATCAGATAGTATGAGTATTTCAGATAATCAGATGTATTCTCCTCCAGCCAGAATTTAATACGCAAAGACACAGTGACAGTCACAGAATTTCTGATCAATCAGCTGAGCATGTCAGTCATTTGTAGATCACGGGTAACTTGTCAGTGACCTTTAGTGTGAAGTATTTATTTAGGAGACTAGAATAAAAAGCAGCTATAGATACAAGTGAGTCAAAGCATTTTATTCAGTAAAAACTCACTAGCCCTGGGTATTAGCAGCTATAAATACGAAAACAGAACTATCATATGATCCAGCAACTCCATTCCTGGGTATATATATCCAAGGAAAATAAAAATACTAATTTGAAAGGATACATGCACCCCAATGCTCATAGCAGCATTATTTACAATAGCCAAGATATGGAAGCAATCTAAGTGTCCATCAACAGAAGACTGGATAAAGACAACGTGAGATAGCTATAGATACAGATATAGATACAATAGATTACATCTATATATGATAGAATATTATTCAGCCATAAAAAAAAGAATGCAATTATGCCATTTGCAACAACATGGATGTTCTTCAACGGTATTATGCTTAGTGACATAAATTAGATAAATAAAAACAAACACTGTATGACATCACTTATGTGTGGAATCTAAAAAATAAAATGAACAAACTAATACAACAAAACAGAACCAGACTGACAGATACAGAGAACTAGTGGTTACCAGTGTGGAGAGGTAAGGGGAGAAGGGACAAAATAGGGATGGGGGTTAAGACATACAAACCACTATGTATAAAATAAATAGGTAACAAGGATCTAGTATGTAACACAGGAAATACAGCCAATATTTGATCATAACTTTAAAATGCAGTATAACCTATAAAAACGTTGAATCACTATGTTGTACACTTGAGCCGAATATAATATTGTAAGTCAACTATACCTCAATAAAAAAATAAAAAATATAAACAAAAACAAAGTAGTGTCTACCATTGTTCGGCAATCCTGGCTTAAAGACGAACTCTCCCTGAAAGAGAAAGGTAGAGGCACCTGTAGAGTTTCTTGTCCAGCAGGGAGTCAAACTCTGGCAACAACAAAAACATAAAGAGATTCTCTTCTTAATTAAATAAACTGATTTGCAAGTTTATAAGGGAAAATAAACAAGACTACCCAGAGGAAAAAAGTATTATGGAGAATTATTTTTATAAGATATTAACAGGTATTACAAAGTTATAAGAAACAAAAGTGTGTTCTTTTAAACAAAAATATATCTTTACTAAGTTTCAATGTTCCTGCATTATACAGGTACCTAGTCCTATAAACTTAGTCTCATGTCCACAATAAACTATAAACGAGGGAACAAAACTGCTGGAAAATCCCTCCCAGCCATGGGTCCTTATTGAAAATGTACACGGGATGATAAAACTGTCATAAATCACTATACTCTTAAAAAAATTGTTAACTGCAACCAAATGTAAACATTTAAAAAGTAATAAAGGACAAAAATGATATGGACTAAAACTCATGAATTGATAGGTTCATGGAACTAAAGAGAAAAATCTAGGACAAGCCCAAGTATATGAGGAATATTTAGTTTTTTAGAAGATATTTTAAGTTAATGAAAAAAATATGAGTTAATCAACATATGCATTCAAACAACTGGATAGTCATGTAGCAAAAAATTAGGTTGACTCCATTTCTTATCATTTCAACAATATAAATTCCATTTTGAACTAAAAAGTTTAAACAGAAGAAAATCAATTATATAGAAGTACAAGATGACATAAATGCATTTTATGACTCTGAAATTGGGAAGACCTTTCTAAATCGGACACAATATCTGGAGGAAATATTGATAAATTACATAAATCTCAAATACATACTGAGCACAAAACTCAGCATCACTGAAGTAATTCAAACACTCTGGGAAAATACGTGTATCTTACATATTTATACTCCTATATCACACTTTACATGATACATGCGCACATATACACGTACCTAAACACATACACACGTGATTTATACAGAGTGGTAAATAAAAATACTCTTTAATGCATTAAAAAGGCCTGAAATGAATATAAAAGAAATCAACACAAAAAGGAGTAAACACAAATGCCGACAGCTCAGTGGAAGAACACTTCGAGGACTTTAATGAAAGGAAGGGATTTGAAAGGAAGAGAATGACTTTGGTTTACAATCGGGCATCAATGGAACACAAGAGGGAGACAGGAACTGTTTCAATCCTTCTGACTAAAGGTCTCCTTCTTTCTGAGATAACAGCTTTGAGCTAACTTCACCCCCGAAGACAGGCAATGCACCTCAACCTACCACAAGCTTTTTTAAGCAAAAAGAAGAATGTAGGGCTATTGATTGGATTAGGAACACTACAAATTAAAGAGTATTTTATTTGTATGTTTTCATTAATTATATACACACATCTTATTATATTTGCACTATTGCACATTTGTACATTTGAGTGTATTTTTAATACTATACATATGTTTAATTTCCCCCAATAACAGAATAAAAATCTGCCAAATAAATTATCCTTAGAGCTTTTTTGACTTCACTCTTATTTCACCCTTTTCAGCTATGCTTCAACATCTGTCTCTGGAACAAATAAGTGGTTAAAAAAAAGTCACTTTATTTTAATTAAAAATAAAATATTGCTCATTTAAAAAAGCAATAAGTGATTTTTGAAACGCATGTGTTTTCAGCATGTTAGCCATTAATTACACTTCAACATGCACTTCTATGTTTCCAATACTGAGGCTGATGTCTGGTGGTACATTAAATGATTTCATGTCCTGTGTTTATGCTATTCTTCTGCTTGCTTTCACAGATGTAACACCTATTTATGGTCAAGTGGAGGGGTCTGTGAAATGTTGCTGTTACTGGTGTAAGAGACTGTGGGAGAGACCATTTCACACTGTTCATGGCAGCAGCCTAGCAAGGGTCCGCTCACATGTTACTCTGAAGACACTGGTAAACCTTCAGAAGCGGATGTGCTAGACTCAAGCTAGCAGTTCTTCCCTTGCTGATACCCAGCTTTGGAGATGCTGATTAATTTGACTCTTCTAGAGTATAGAGATTAAGGAAGTAGTATGTGAAACTAGACTGGCTCCAAAAAAGCTACTACTATTTGACCTTGAGCATATTACTAACCTCCCTGTACCTCAGTTTCACCATTTTCAAAACAGTGTTAATAAGTTTCTTTTGGTGATGGTTAATTATGTTCATGCCTGTAAAATGCCTACAACTGTGCCTATTAACAAGGTTAGATCAATAAATATTAACTATTTTCATAAGAAAGAATGACAAGGCACTTAGCACCGGAAGATCAAGTCTGAATACATAGATTAGAGTAAATGGAAAAGTCTCTAGACTTCGGGCTCTAGAGCTTGAGTTTAGATGGAAGAATAGTCTTCTAAGAGTTAGCAGACTATTAAAAAAATGAATGATTTTTGGAATCAGATTGGTCTGATTTTCAGTTATAATTCTGACATTTACTAACTGGTCGTCTTTAGATAAGCAGTTTTTAACCAACAGCCTGAACTTACTGGTGATTACATTGCTAGTACAATAAAGGTGCTGGAGATGAAAAGATGAACAAAAGAGATAAAAACTCTTTCTCTCCTGGAGTGTAAGTTCTAAACGGGGCCTTTGTGAAGTACCTGACATGTTTTCAAGGCGCTTTTTGATTGACATTTGTAATCCTAAAGTCACAACCCTGGCAGATCTAGAGATCACTGAAATGATATCCCACTTACAGGAATCTGAATGAGAGCGATTGTGGGAGGGACTACAAATCTCCCTTAACTTAGGATGGGATGATACCCCCATAAACCATCATAAATTGAAAATATCCTAAGTAGAAAATGCATTTAATTACACCTAACCTATCGAGTACCATAGGTAAGCCTAGCCCATCTTAAACGTGCGCAGAATACTTACATTAGCCTGCAGTTGGGCAAAATCACCTATGACAAAGTCTATCTTATAATAAAGGGTTGAATGTCTCATGTAATTTATTGAATACTTCACTAAAAGTGAAAAATGAGATTTGCAAATGTTAGCCACTATATATAAAAATAAGAGAAAAAAAAACAAATTTCTTCTGTATAGCACAGGGAACTATATTCAATGTCTTCTAATAACCTTTGATGGAAAAGAATATGGAAATGAATATATGTATGTATATGCATGACTGGGATGTTGTGATGTACACAAGAAATTGACATGGTGTAACTGATTAAATGTCAGTTAAAAAATGATCTCTCAGAGAAAAAATTATGAATTAGAAGAGGAAAAAATTTTTAAAATAAAACAAAATGAAGAAGGAAAATGGAATGTCATATGAGTGCAGAAAGGTGGTCAGTAGCTCAGCTGTTTCCCCCTGTGACTTTGTGGCTGACGGGGAGGTGCCCACCATCATGAGAGAGAATTGGATAGCACATGGCGAGCCCAGGAAAGGATCAAAATTCAAAAAAGTATGGTTTCTACTGAATGCATATAGTTTTTGCACCATCATAAAATAAAAAAAGCATAAGTGGAACCAGCCTAGGTTGAGGACCATCTGTACTTGCCTGTCACTCTGAGGTTCAGTCAAATATAAATGAAGGACAGCAAAAAGAGAACTAGAACTAGGAAGGGGATATATTCCCATAATGATAATCCAGAAAAGAGAAAGACCCTTCACCAATATTCTATTTAATACACGTTAGGCAACTGATATACACAGAGATGGTCAAGACAAGATCTCTGTCTTCAAGGAGCTCAGAAGCTAGTGAAGTTATAACTAAGCATGCTCACCCTGGCAGACATATGGACAAAGCAAAGTGTTATAGTAGCACACAGAATGGAACTTCTCTTTTTAAACTGGGTAGGCAGACGGGAATAACATAGAAAGTTACGCCTAAGGAGAGTTGGAACAAAAGTCTAGGGATTTTAAGGCAAAGACAAAAAGAAACCTTTCTATCTGAAAGAAAACTTACTGTCTGTAACAACGTGTGCAAAGCATTATATACAAAATGGCTAGTGAGTTTAAAAATGAGAATTGTTAGTGACCTTTACCCCTCCGTTTACTAAACATCTGACCCCAGACAACTTCACCGGTTAACAGTCTAACCAAAGCGGAATTAGTTAGATTTGGTCGAAGCATAAGAGTGAGGGACAGAATAAACAGATAAATCTGGAAACTAAAGTTAGTCCAGACTGTGAAGGGTTGAATGTCACTCTTGAGAATGTAGACCTTGTCTTTTATGTAACAGACCATCATAGAAGGTACATAAACTGAGAAGTAAAGATCTCAGAACTGATTCGGGAGCTATAATCCTAGTCGCAATCTGTATAATAGACAATGAGCTAAAGACTGAAGGAAGCGTAACCATTGCAGACACTGATGCGATTGTTTAAAGGAGAGAGACGGATTTTCAAGAAAAAAAGAAAGGCTGGATTTAAGATAAAGAATAGATAGTATGTCCTATTCTATGGATTCAACCAATAGCCATTGAGTACCTATTTAGTATGAGACATTTTTTGGTTTCACCAAGCAATACAAACACAATCTATGCCCTCATGTAACTTAGACTTTAGTGAAAGCTGGAAGCACATGACAGGTGCTCCATAAATATTGCTGAATGACTAGATGGCTTGAACTAATTCAAAGAGATAGGGAATGACCTTAAGTTAGAACACTGACTGAACACCTAAAATAATTAACTCAGATCAGATACATATTTGGTACATTTGTTACCACTGGAAGATAAATAAAGCTAGATAAGCCCCTCTACCTTCACTCAGGACATGACCTTTTAACTAAAATGCCAAGGGGGGTGTGTGTGTGAGAGAGAGTTAATAATTTAAGGAAACACACTGAAATATTAATGCCAAAGAAAGGATCTTGAATGCTCTCTAGTGCTTCAAGATAAGGAGGAGGGCCATTGTGTAACAAGGGAAGTTTCACAAAGGAAATAGGATTTTAATGGTGGTTGAGATTAAATAATTAGAGAAGATACAGATGGGAAAAGTGTGTACCAGATGGGAAAACTGTGTCCTAATACATGTGGGAAATGTGGGAATAGCCAAGTACATTCTTGGGGCAGAAAAAGGAAACTAGTCTAGGGGGAAGATGAGACCAGAGGAGACTGAGAGACGCAGCTGAAGATGAAAGCAGGAGGCGAATTGTAAAGGTGGTGCTGATGAAGACTTTTTTCCATCATAAACCTTGCTGAAATCCTTTGCTTTGTTAATTCTTAGTGAAGTTGATATATGGCAGAACGTGTTCTGAAGCGGAGGGAGAAAAGTTTCCTTAACATTTTTAGGGCCCCTGACTGGGTCTGAAAATTAAACTATTAAAGACAGATTAACAGGAGAAAAGCATACAAATTTGTTTAATATAAATTTTACAGGACAAGTGAGCCCTCAGAAGGAAACAAAGACCTGACGAAACAGTTCAACCTGAGGGCTATCATGTTAGGTTTGATGCAGAGGGGACAGCCATGGAAAGATGCAATAGGACCGAGTATGAGCTGAGCGCTGTAAACTGGGGGAACTTAGCAAGGCCTGTAGTAAGGATGTTCCTCCCCTCCTGATTGTTACCAAACTCAGGTTTGGCTGCTCGCCACCCAAAAGCTAATACTCGAGAGGCAAGTGTTGGTAGAAAAGAAAGGTCGCTCTATTCAGGGTACTGGCAGGCTGGGGAGAAGGCGGGCTGATGTCCCAAACCAGCTCCAAAGATTCTGCTCAGACATGACAACTCTTAACGGGAAAAAAGGAGAAAGAATCTCAGTGATACATGGAAGCAAGAGGCTGGGGTTCTGTGTCGTTTTCCACTGCCTGCAGACTACCTAACCCCTCATAATCTTCCTGCAAGCACTATCTTTTTTTTTTTTTGATAGAATCAATAATTATTTTTTTAATTGAATTATAGTCAGTTACGATGTGTCAATTTCTGGTGTACAGCTCAATATCCCAGTAATGCATATACATACATATATTCATTTTCATATTTTTTATTAAAGGTTGTTACAAGATATTGAACATAGTTCCCTGTGTTACACAGAAGAAACTTTTTAAAAAATCTGTTTATATATATAGTGGCTCACGTTTGTAAATCTCAAACTCCCTCCGTCAGATGCTATCTTCTTGTCCATGTGGTCGACCTGCAGGAATGCAATAGAGGGAACTGGGGGAAGAGAGCTAGTCCTTCTTTAATTACTTATTTTTTCATTTTTACCTCTTTTAATCTAGGAAAGAATCAACAGGTTCAGTGCAAGTCAAGAATTAGGTTAAATTGCCTGGTGATCGCATTCTTACAATCAGGTTCCTTTAGGATTAGGGGTGAACGTGAGTGGGCAAGCAGGAAAGGGCCAGAAGGGCTGCTTTCATCCTATAGGTGGAGGGAGGTCTCCTCTCAGACGAGGATCTGGTGACCTGCTTCAGAAAGGAAGGACAGGGGAAGGTCCAGGACCCTCCTGCTTCTGCCACTTTCCCCAACTCTTTCAGCCTCAAATAGTCAACGTGCCAAGGTGCTGTATTTGCCCTACTGAACACAGTCAGTCCTAAATTATGTTGTGTCTCAGCAGCTGCCTTCCTCTGGTGTTTGGCAACCACTACACCATCAATAGCCGAAATGTTAGGCCCTCTCATTATTCTTTTGCCAGACAAAGTGCTAGACGGCAGAATGTCCAATTACATTCGATTTATAAATAGAGAACTTTTTCGTATAGTATGGCTCATGAAATATTTAGTACATACTAACACTAAAAAAAAATCATTCGTTGTTTATCAGAAATTCAAATTTAACTGGATATCCTATGTTTCTATTTGATAAATTTCTGAATTCCTAGACCTATGAAAGCAATTCAACTCTGAACAGTTCCTTTCCACTAGTTCTAAGGATTTCAAGTGAGAAGTTGAGTATCATGCTATTCCTAATTAAATTAAACTCATCTAATGTTTGTATGTCCTTTATGATTTTCTCCACAGCAGTGATCACTTTTAGCAATTTTTCCATGGTTTTGTTCAGTTGCAAAGGCAAGGGAAAAAATAAAACAAACAGGAAAAAAGCAGTTCAGCCATTTCAGAGAGAAGCAATTTAAAAAGGGCAGGTACCATTTGTGATTACCAGTCCCTCTCCTCAGTGAGGGCAAAGTATGTGAAGGGTTAAGTCTCAACCTCCCCTCAGCCTTTAGCCCTAGGACTCCTATTTACTTTAATGGAAATCACTTTTCCAAGGCACCATGCAGGGTTCGGAAACACAGGGTTAAAGGTCACTGTGCAACTCCAAGAATAATAAATTTGCAATTTGTACTTTCCTGACCTCCAGAAATATTTTGAGGTGTTCGAGGCCAAAGAAAACAAAGCAGTGCTTTGAAAGGACTGGGGAGCTATCAACTGATCAATTTAAGTGGGATTATCTGATAATTGAGTAAATACATTGTTATTGATGTGCAGGATGAGGAAGATGTGCCAAGAAAACCCTAATGCCTGGTCCTAGATTTATCTGCTAATCCTTGAAGGAGGCAGTTTACTGAGCACATGAGTAATTGCTCTGCTAACAGATTTATTCTTCGCTTAAGCCCCCTTTGGGGCTTAAATCCTCCTCTCTCCTTCCAGCAGTTCAAAATGTGGCCTGAATCCCACTGCCCAGAGTGTTACACTTTGCAGCCCCTCCCAGGTCTGTTCGGACTCCAGTTTCTTTGATTTAACAGACACTGCTCTAGCAAGATGCTGGGGCTCTTGCCAGATGTGCTTAATGTGAATGAAATTTTAGGAATTTTACATTTGTTTGAGCTACCTGGAGAAACTTGCCTCTTCTCTGTTGCCATATTTTCCACCAGATTATTTTAAAATAGAGCCCTAAGGGAGATACAGTTTAGTGGGAAGAGCCGAAGACTGGAAACCAGGAAACTCATGTTCTAATCTTGACTCTGTCCTCAATTCACTTTGTAATTTTGATTAATCTTGTTACTTTGTCTACCTCTTTTGGCCTCTAATTTTTCCTTTGTGAGTTAAGGAAACAGAGCTGAGATTGCTTCCAGCTCAAACTATCAATGAAGGAATGAAGTAATTGATCTGCATTTTATGTTGAGCATGCAGACCCAACCACAAGGATTTTCTATGATTTTCATGTCTATCCTTCCTGGTGTAGACACGTTCCCCCTACAACATGAGTGCAACTTGTGCTTTCTCAGAATTTCCACTGGGAGAAGTAAGACAATTGCAGAGAGCAGGATGATTTTTTTTTAACATTTTTTATTGATTC